TGAAAAAAAAAACACTTTGTGAAGTTCTGTCCATGAACGTTAGAGGCGCGAGTGTCGTGAAAAAAAAAAGAAGGAAGATCTTGTTAGCGCACTTATCTTTTATTTATATTGTATTAAACATCAACTACAATTATTTTGTTAATATTATCCGCAATTACATTATCATCAACCAATATAGTCTGATAGTCGACAGAAGAAAAGGATCAGATCCAGAAAAAAAAGTTCGGATCTCGGTGTTCTTAAACAAGAATCTGCATTAAATATTTTTATACTTTAACTCGCAAAGTTAAGTTTCGAGAGTTTCGAATCGATCCTTGAAATGAACTCCGCGCGACAGATATAAACTCGTGGTGTTAAAACCACAGTGTGTTTCATTCGAAATAACATATGCTGTAACACGTTGCGAAGTATTCTTATGAAAAAAAAAAAAGGGCAGAAGAAGCAGCAAGAGGAGTGTTCGTACGAATGATAAAACGTAAAAACATGCACGACGCGAACGCATCATCACATCATGATGCTTCATGAGGCTATCATTTCGAACATCTGTTGCAAGCAGGTTCGTAGCAGACGGAGTGGCCCGCTTCTATATTATTACGTTACAATGATCCCCTTGTGTCTAAGTTGCCATAAACGTTCAACGCGATTTCGTTTAAAACGTAACGCGCTTTCCTACGTGGATTTTACGCAAATCAAACAGAAGAGAAATGCTGAGAGAGACCGTGTAAATGCGAAATTTCCATAAAATTACCCGTTCGTCATGGGTGAACGGATATTGTTATAATTGTTCTTCGATTTATTATTAATAATTGATAATTACACTGTCTGTATGAATTTCTCCGTTCACGTCTACGATGTGTAATTATTTCAGCTATCCTTCTTCGCGAACGTGCAAACACACAACGGGTGTAGAAAATATTCGCACGCTTATACAGGGTGTGCCTCGGTAGTACAAGCGAAGTGAAAGTGATTCTACATGAAAAGTAACAGACATTCAGCATATATAATCAAGGATACTGATGTGATAGTTTTCTCTCTACTTTACGGTAGATTTCACGAATTATCATCGACAGATCAAAATACACTGAGCAAAGCAACAATTGATTGAACGTGCACGAAAAAAATCAATCTCTATCGCTGGATCATTATTCGAATGATTAAAAAGATTTTATTAATTTCGTGACCAGTGTGACGAAAGCATGCCCAAATTCGAACGATGAAAAATTGCTTAGAAATCCTTAAAATGCAAGCGCAAGTTTGAAAAATGTTCGCGTCACAGTGTCACAACGTCGACAAAGGATCCTCGATTCTAGAACCTGCAGAGACTTTTATCAGGCGAAAAAGCCTAATTCGCCGAGCGAATAAATCTCACGTAACGCCACGACCCCGGTGCTATTTAACTTCTCGTAGAAGTAACCGTCCCGTCCTGATTTATGACGCGCTATACATCGTTACAAAATTCCTCGACCGCCGCGATTTCTCGCGTTGCGCGTCACGCTCGATCGGCCGCTCGATGTTCGGCGGCGATTTTTCTCCCGTGCGATTTCTCGTGACATTCGTCGTCCTTTGTTTGACACAGGAGACCTTTCTTGCAAAAAAGAAAAAGAAAAAAAAGTGGAACAAAGTATGGAGAGTATAAACGTTGATTATTAATTGATCGACGAGTCGGAATGGAAGCTAGCGGGTTTCTGCAAGGGAATCTTCGGCTGTCTCGCATAATCGTGGCGCCAGGATAATCCGTTTGAGACGGGAACCGATGATTCGGCGTGTAACGCGAAACTACTCGGACACGGGCGCAATCTGCGAGTGTGAGTAACAACGAGATTACAATTACTGTCACTTAAATTAAATTTCTTGTTGAAAATAAAATATATTTGTCAAAATTTTAGGCATCTCTCTAGCCAAGTCCTTTCTACTAGTTCGTTCCTAAATATTTCCTTGCTACGATCGTTTGTGTGCGCTATCTTGCGCGACTTGTTGCACTGTGTGCAGGTCAATCTGGACACGTATATAATTTCTGAAGTATATACTGAAAAAAATCATCTTTTAGACCAAAGGTGGCTAACTGGCGGTCCTTGCCCCTACTTCCCTGATCGCTAGCGCTATCCCCTCCACTGCAGTCTGTTGAGTTCCCTACTAAGCAAGTGGAGAGATCGGTGCAGTGGAGGGGATAGCGCTAGCGATCAGGAAAGTAGGGGCAAGCCTCTATAGTTAGCTCTGTTTCAAACAGTGTTTGTTTCAGTTCATTTTTGTTACATAAAAGGAATAATGGGAAATTAAACGCGTGTAAACTTTCTGCTAGTGTGTATTGAAGAAAACCAATGAATTATGATGATTGAAAATTTACAACGAAGCCTACACATTTTCCAGATTACGTAACCAAACACATCGTCGAAAACTAAACACACACGAAGATGTTCGCTGTGTTGAAAAAATAATGTAGACTCGGTGCCAAGTGTAGGAATAAATCAAACTTCTAATTTCTCCTCATTCTTTCCAAATATTCGACTTTTCTAATAACAAGGAAATCACGAATGCTTAAGTTTTGTAAATAGTACTAATCAAGCTAAACGACGAAATTATCGATTTTTCAAAAAAGAAAAAAAAATTAGCTAGTTATATCCTGTTGCACTCTGTGTATATAATCATTACGTCGAGTATATAATCATTTTAACGACACACAGTGTAGATACACACTTTCAAAAGTGGCACGGCAGCTAAGAGGCTTAATAATTCGAAGACGGCACAGATTGAACGAATATGACCTCGGCCCTGCACACAGATTCGTTTACTCAATGACACGCAATGACTTCGAAATGCACAGGCTTGATCAATTGTTCCGGTTAATACACATCGTTTCCATCGGGTTCGATTCGGTACGCTTTTTGCGCGCGTACTGTTTCATCGTTGATTTTTGAACGAAGCGGATCGACGATTTCGGTTTAACGTGAAGTACGTACGTGTAAATAATTCGGGGCATTTGTGACGTATCCAGTTGGTTTGCTTATAATATTTGCAAAGAGACAGAGAGAGAGAGAGAGAGTTGAGTGATTTAAAATAATAAAAGAAAATTTAGAATTTTAAATGGGTCCGTCGTGTTACTGAAATAAAATGGTATTTAGTATTTATACTGGAAAGTATTTAAAACACGATATACTTAGAATGGAAATCCTGGATGATAGATATTTTTAAATTTTTATATGCACGACTTAATTTTGTTAAAATCGAACAACACAAGAATGATTTTATTATAATATTATAATAATATAATGTAAATACTTGTAATATTGATTAATACTTAATTAACGCTATAATAGTTATTACAACCAATACAAACTCGTGGATCAAAAATACACAATCATTACGTTTCTTGGAATTTTTAATAAGGAGTCGATCCATCGTCTTTGTCTTTCGCTTTGTCTATCATCACTTTCGTGTACGCGTGCTGTCTCCGATTCGAAAATCTGTTAGGTTTCAGAGACCCCGCGAGCGTGTGACGCGATAACACAACGTGCATACGGCGTGCTATTCGAATCAAAATTGCGGAACTCTTATACGCCACTTACACGCGCGCAGCCTATTCGTACACGTGCTTTGTAAATTCGATTCGCGGAGCGGAGAGAGCGTCGACGTTCCTGTCGAATTGATTTTCATTGTTCCCGGAGAAATCCGCCTGACTTTTCGGGCGAATATTCCGCGCCCGAATGTGAAATTCATAGTCTTCGAATCGGCAAGAGATGAAGCAGTTTAGCTTATTTAGTTTATCTGTAGTTTATGCCCAAAAATCGAAGGAACTGCATAAAATGCATAAATCTGCACGTTCGATGAAAAATTTTAAACTGTTATGAAGAAGGAGAAAAAAGAAATCGTACAACAATCCAATTGAGCTCGTTTAAGTGTGTTAAACTCTCCGCATTAGTTTTCTTCAACCGTGTAGCAAGTGAGAAAGCACGGATACCTCTGACATTCTTTTTCCAATGAAAAAAAGAAAAAAAAAAGAAGTTGAAAGATTTTCTTCGCGATTAAAATTTTAAAGATTGAAGTTCCCTCTTTCAACGCGTCGTGCAGTTTTCTCTCTGCCGCGCCATTTTATGGAACTTTGGATATTAAGATTAAACGCTAGGATCTCCTCAACTTTTGTCGTTCAACTCTGAGACGTTCAATGTAACGGCGAGAAAATCGTACAAGTTTGAAGAGAAAGAGAGGCTCTCGATCTTCGTGATTATGGTACATCTAATCATGGTATCTTGAAGTTATGTAGTACATTTATAAAACATTTTTCCACAAAAGTGTCCTTGCTGCGTGATGTAAAAACACATTTAGAAGAAAAAAAAAAAAAACAATTCGAAAGGTTGTTGAAGTAGAGGTTTTTGGATTTTGTTTCGCGAAGAAATTTAACATATCGATAATTTTTCATCGTGTGTGCGAACATTTTCGTCCACTTCTGATCTGAACCTTGATAAAATACATAATTAAAATTTACGTTGGCATCTTAACATCGATCAAATGTTACGTATGACAATGATTACAGCAAACTTCATTTGGATCAGACGTAAGCGAATTCTAATTCAACAGTTACATCTTCCGTTAGTCATACATTATTTAAACGCGATTATCTTACAATTATTTCATTCATTAAATTTCACTTAATGAAAAGTGATAATAAATTAATCAGAAAAAGACGCAAATGTATAGTGTGTAGAAAACATAACATATTTATTATGATTTATTTATTAGATATATTATGAAACAAGCTTAAAAGTTACTGTATA